GGGTTCAGTACATTTTGGCTCAGGATCAGGAATTTGGATGTTAAGGGATTCTTATGCTCTGGAAATGAGAAACACAGCTCTGGGCCAGCAGCCTGTGGAGTAGTGAATCCTGTAAAGCAATGGGGTTTTGCTGTCAGCCCCCACTACATTCCTAATCTGTTTAAGAAACTGCAAGATCCAATTCCAGTGCATTAAAGAAAACACTAATGTGTCTCTAAGTCCCAGTAGACATGTGTGCTTGTCAAACGTACCTTAGGGAATTCATATTCTCGTTTTAAAGAACACTTGGAGTCCCTTTGTGATTCAGCAGTTACTGGAAGATGGCCCATCCTATCTGGATTATTCTAGTGTGTGGAGATTGCTGGGAGGTGGCCCCAGGGTGGCAGGGGCTGGGGGATCATCACTGGGCTTTGTAGGAAGACCAGCTCACCTGGCTCCAGAGTCATGAATGTGGACCTAGGTATGCCTGCCTCCTGCAGTCCATGCTGATCATTACGCTCCCAAGTTTACACAGAGCTCATGGTCACAGCCAGATCCCCAGAACACACATCTACAGAGGCTTGGGAGAAATCTGAGGTCTCTTCCAGATAAAACACTGCTCTCTGACTTTCTCCTCCACCCCACGCTTCCAGCCCTGCCAGTTCTTGCTAAAGGACAGCTCTAACGTTTTTTAAATTCCACACATGAATGGAATCATACAGTATTTGTCTTTCTCTGACTTATTTCACTCAGCATTATACTCTCTAGCTCCATGTGTGTTGTTGCAAATGACAAAATTCCACTCTTTTTTATGGCTGAGTAGTATCTCATTGTATGTAGACACTGCATCTTCTTTATCATTCACCAGTTGTTGGATATTTGGGCTCGTTCCATAATTTGGCTGTTGTGGACATTGCTGCTAAAAACTTCAAATTCATATTTTTGTATCCTTTGGATGAATACCTAGTAGTGCAACTGCTGGGTCATAGGGTAGTTCTTTTCTGAACTTTCTGAGGAACTTCCATACTGTTTTCCAGAGTGGTTGCACCAGCTTGCATTCCCACCAACAGTGTAAAAGGGTTCCCCTTCTCCACATTCTCTCCAACACCTGTCGCTTCCTGTTGTTGATTTTAGCCATTCTGACTGGCGTGAAGTCGTATCTCATTGCAATTTGAGTCTGTAGTTCCCTGATGATGAATGATGTTGAGCATCTTTTCAGGTATCTGTATGTCTTTTTTTCGAAAAATGTCTACTCATGTCTTCTGCCCATTTTTAAACTGAATTAACTATTTTTGGGGGTGTTGAGTTTTATAAGTTCTTTATGTATTTTGGATACTAACCTTTTATTAGGTATGTCATTTGCAAATATCTTCTACCATAAAGACAGCTCTAACGGAGCAGCTTCTGCTCAAAATCCTTCAGTAGCTCCCATCTACATCACTCAGGCCAATGTGCTCTGATTTGACATCAAGACTGCTATAACCTGGATAAAACTCCTATCCTGGAAGGCAGAACAATGGCTCCTAAGGGTGTCTACGTTCTAGCCTCTGGAATGTGTGAATGGGTTACAAGGCAAAAGGGACTTTGAAATGGGGAGATTATCCTGGTTTATCTGGTTGGGCCCAGCCTAATGACATGAGCCCTTAAAAGTGGAGAAACTTTCATGGCTGTGGGTAGAGATGTGACAATGGAAGGAGGGTCAGAGAGATAGGACATTGCTGGCTTTGAAGATGGAGGAAAGGGCCACAAGACAAGAAATAGGGGTAGGCTCTAGAAGCTAGAAAAGGCAAGGACATGGATTCTCCCCAGACCATCTGGAGAGAAATGCAACCATCCAGACATCTTGATTTTACCCCAGTAAGACTCCCATGCCCAACCTCTACTGAACCATAAGGCAATAAATTTGTATTAAGACACTAATGTTGTGGGGACTCCTGGGGGACTCCTACAGTTAAGTGTCTGCTTTCAGCTCAGGTCATGATCCCAGGTTCTGGGATTGAGCCCCACATGGGGCTCCCTGCTCAGAGGGAAGCCTGCTTATCCCTCTGCCTCTGCCTGCCGCTCCCCCTGCTCCTGCTGTCTCTCTCATGTATTTTTAAAATCTTAAAAAAAAAAAAAGATACTAATGTGTAATCTATGGCAGCAATGGGAAACTAACACATTCCCCATCACATCTCCAGTCAATCTGTCCCAGGCTATCCTTCCCCTCCCCCGACACGTGTTCCCCTACCTCCACATCTGTGCTCATGCTGGTAGCCCTGTCCAGGACACTCAGGTGACCTCTCGCCTGAGCTATTAACAAAAGCCTTTCACTCCAGCCTGTCCTCAGCACTGACCCCCTGCCAGCAGCATTCACCCTTCTGGAGTCCCCATCCTGTGGGCTCCCCACTAAACCATAAAGTCCTTGAAGACAGTGTCTGTGACTGATTTTCCTCCGACCTCCATGACCAGGAGGGGTCCACAGAGGTTTCTGTGATGAACCTGGGACATCTTTGTAGAACCTCTATTTCGGGATTACCTGGGAATCTTCATGCAAGTCCTAATTCTACCAAATCACAATGGGAGGCAACTCCACGTGTATTCTTGGGAGAAGATTTCCAAGGTTCAGAGTTAAGGAGGAAGTTGAAGATTGAATAGAGCATGTTGCCATTTGTGTGAAAAGGGGAAAAAATATTTATGTCAGTTGACAAAGAACTGTCTTTGGAAAGATATGAAAAATAGGTAAAAAGATATAAACTCCTGGAACTTTCTGAATTCTGTACCATATATACCTATTATCTAATCACAAAAGTAAATAAAATTTTGAATATTCAAAATACCAATTCTGGCCGTGTTGCCAGAAAAGATCCAGGCTGTCCCAGGACTCTGTGTCTAAAGCACTTTCTGCCGCTCATTCTAAGTCAGGAACTGAGCTGTCAGGAAAAGGGCAGACATGAGATGCAAAGGATATTTGGAAGCACCAACTTACACTCCACTTAATCAGAAAAATAAATAGAGACTCTCCACAGGATTGTGAGCCAGGTTTGGGAACCCACTGATTGAGCTCCGCCTCTGCATTTTATGGATGAGGAAAGTGAGGGAGAGTGACTTCCAAAAGCTACAGAGCCAGCCAGCACAGGCCAGGGCCCCAGGAATGATAATAGCAGTGACCTTGACTCCCAGCCCCTGCTCACCCTCAAGCAGGGACCCTGGTGACTCACAGGGCAGGACAGGATGATAGAGAAGAAAACACCATCTTTAATGAACCCACCTGCACAGAAACCAGGGAGCGCTCCCTGCCTTGCAAGGTCCCAGTGGGAAAAGAACTTGGTCCCTTGCAAAAACCATCTTATAAAAACAAAAGGCTTCAAAGCACCAGTGGCTAAACCCGTTGAGTAGAAAGGAGGCTGGGGAGTGGGGGTGGGAGGAGAGGGCTGGAGGCAGGAGTTGGCCTGGAAGCAGGATAGCAGCCAGGCCCGAAGGGAGCTGCCCCCTTCTTGAGCGGAACTCCTAGCTACCTGGGAAGACCATAGGGGACCTCAGTGCCCGGGGTGGCCAGTGGAACTCCTGGGGCTGGCTCCTTGGCACAGCACTGCAGAGGGGATGGCAGGATGGGGTCCTAGCTCCAGATACTTTGGCCTTAGATGTAAGGAAGGCTAGATCAGAGGGTAGAGAGTGAAGAGTGGAGTGGTCGCCATGGATGGGCCCAGGCATACAAACCATGCATTTCCCTCCAGTTCCCCCATGCCTTCTGCCCTCCCTCCTTATCCAGGACCACTCCTGTTTTACAGACTGGGAAGCTGAGGCCTGCCCCTCCTGCCCTTGGACTTACGGCCCATACACAGGAAGCAAGGTCCTCAGGGGTGTCTGTGGAAGGAGATGGGGAGAATGAGCTCTCATCTGTTTGCTCTCAAGGGTGCTGGTCCTCCCGACCCCACACAATGACCCACATGCCCAGTCTGCCTCTTCACAACTCCTTCTGGGCTTGTTAGAGGTTTCTCTTGGACATTGGAGTGGTCATAAACGCTGGTGATCTTTGAAAACTGGTGATCGGTAGGTGCTGACCAGCTGTCTTCCATTCTGGAACTACAGGTCCTCCAATGGGTGAGGTGGATGGAGCCATCAGGGGTGGTGGAATTGCTGAGGGGACAGGGGATCATGGCTGCAGCAGACCCGGCCTCAGGGACCCGGAAGGGGATGGGGTGGCTGAGATATGCTCCCTTCCCCTACTGGCATGACCTTCAAACATTGGCCCAGGGTGGACAGGGGCCGAGTCTAGGAGGGCTTTCCTGTGGGTCAGGCTGAACTCAGGGCTCTGGGCTCTGTTCATCTGGTTCCCAACAGGAGAACAGGTATATTGCTTCAAGAGAGGCGCTGGCGAGTGGTGGTGGTGTGTGTGATGTAGATCACATGGGTTCTAGAATGTTCCATCTGGATGGGGGCTTGGAAAGGGATTCAGAGACCAGGCACTGGGTTTTGGAGTCTGAAACTACAGAAGGTACACTGTGTTCAAGGCCTGCCTCCTCCAAAAGCCTAGCTGTGTGGCCTCAAGCAAATCGCTTCATATCTCCGGGCCTCAGTTTCCACATCTGCAAAATGGGAATTTTAATCCCAGCCTAGTCCCGGGAATTAAGAGTCAAATGAAAAGGCTAGAAAGAGCTCCATCTGCTAAGAGGTTATTTTAATTGAGGGAAACTGAGGCCCAGAGAGGGCAAAGGGCCTTGCCAGATGTCACACAGACAGTTGGTGACGGAGCTGCGACTGGAACCCAGGACTCCTGCTTCTAGTTCACAGTAACTCTCCCCAGGGCTGGTGAAAGTGTGGTGAGACGGGGTGAATGCCATTTCTCTCTGGACAGGGGACCGGAAGTGGGGTGAAGGGTTTCGAAAGGGAGAGGCTGGAGAAGGGAGGGAGGCCCCAGCGCACGCCAAGGCTGAGATAAAAAAAATACAAACCCCGTGATCCCCTACCCCGCCCGGCCCGCCCGCATCCCTGGAGTTGGGCTGCGAAGGGCCAAGTCCAAGTCCGCTGCAGACTCAGCCCACGCAGGCTGCAGTTGGTCCGCAAGCCGCCAGGGGGCGCGCCTGCTACTTTGGCCCAAGCTCGCGCCAGCGGCTTCAGTCTAGCCAGTAAGCTCGTGGCAACTGGATGGGCGCGGGACAGAAGCTACCCCGACCTGCAGGAAACAAAGGCAGGTTAGGGAAGTGGACGCTGAAAGTATGGGGCAGAGAGATCCAGCTGCCCTCCCCGCTCCACCCTGCCTGTCTTTCCCCTACAGGAACGCCTCAATCCCGCCGCCCCACCCCGCTGGGCGCCGTGACCCACGTGTACAGAGGCTGCAGTTGTAAATGTGACGTCTTCTGGGGCGCCTGGTATCCGTAGGAGTCAAAGCCACCGATGAAGTCAACTGCGGAAGGGGAAGTGGTGCATAGTTAGGGATAGGCCTGTGGGGTATGAGTTATGGGAGGCTGGGTGCTGAAAAGGAAGAATCTGAGGGGGTCTGACCCCAGTACAGTGCCTGGGGGGGGGGGGGGCTTTGCTGCTGGTCCTATGGGGAGCAGAAGGAGACTCGCAGGAGCTCAGCCAGAATGGGCCAAAGCCCAAGTAGATAGAGAGCCTGGGGGATGGGCCGTCCTTCAAGGGAGCAGGGCTTGAGCCACTTAAGGGAGCAAGACCTGGAAGGTGGGAGTGGAGGGGGCTTGAGCCACTTAAGCGAGCAAGACTGGGAGGTGGAGGTGGAGGGTAGTGGGGGGACAAGGCTGGGCACCCGTGTTCCTTGGTAGGGGTGAGCCTCAGGGAGCTCCTCTGAGGGGCAGAACCTAAGAGGAGTGGGTGGAGAGTAGTGCTGGAGCCGTGCACTGGATATCTGGGTCACAGCCCAGAATGTGCTGGCCATGCAGACCCCCACCACCCCTGCCACCTCTTCTCCCCCACTAAGAGGAGCCAGTTGGCCAACCCAGGTTTCCCTGCCTCCCAGGCAGCGCAGGGCTCTGTCCAGGGTGCTGAAGGCATGGGGTGGTGTGTGGCCAGGCATCCCCGTTCCCTAGGGGCTTGGCACTCACAGCTGTCCTCCTCCTCCAGGAACACTTTGCTCACGTAGCAGGCGAATACGAAGCCAAAGAGCTGGGGGTGGAAGGAAAGAAGACAGAAGCTCTTCCTCCACCCGGCGCCTGGCAGGGCCCAGTAGGACAGGAGGGGCAGGGTGTGCGAGGATGAACACCAAACCATAACAACTTCAAGTTAAATGCTTGGGCCTTACAGTCAAACATATCTGGTTCCATTCTGTGTTCTGTGAGTGGACTTGGACAAGTCATTATTTTACCTCTTTGAGCCTCAGTTTTCCCAGCTGGACCTGGGCAATACTTTACTGACGGGTTAAGAGGAACGAGGATTTTGTGGCTTTGGATGTGTGGAGTGCTGAGGGCAAGCCTGCGAACTATATTATCATCTTGGAGCCACTCTTCTTTCAGTCTCACAACTCTACACAGTTGATGTGGTCACGCCTTTCTGTGAATGAGCATATAAGCTTGGAGAGGGCAAATGACTTGTCCAAGGTCACACAGCGGATACACTGGAGACTGGGTTGACTCATGGTCTGATGACTCATCCTAGTCATTAAACCCACTCACTCTTGGAATGGGAGCTGGGGCAGGGGTGAAGGGAGGAGATACAAGATACGGAAGCAGAGCCAGACAGAAGCACAGACAGGCTGGAAGATCCAGGTTCTCCCTTTCTTAACTAGAGCTAAACAAAGGGGTTGGGGTGGACTTCACCTCTGGGAGTGTGTGGGCTGGGGAGACAGGAGGACTCACAGCCAGGAAGATCTGCAGGGCACTGCTGAGTGCTTCGATGTAGGGGTAGTCAAGCAGGCAGCCGGTGACAGAGATGACATGGTGGTCTTCCAGGGCGAGGCGGGAGTTCAGGACAGGTGTCACCAGGCAGCCTGGCCCATTCTCCATCCACCAGGAGCGGTGCAGGGATGTGTTGAAGGTCATGATGAAGTCCCGGTCCTGGGGGCAGAGGGGCCTAGGATACTGAGCTGGGGCCAGGGGTTGGGGGGCATCTTCTTCAGGCCCCAGGAAACTTTATATAAGATCTACTTCACACCTGGACTGTTGAAGCAGTCTCCTCTCCCGGCTTGATTTGAAGGGTACGGACGGAGTCCGTTATTGCAAGTCTATATTTGGCCAGTAGGTGGCACTTGATGACTACATAGGTCTCACACTTTCACCAGAGGCAGAAAGGGCTAGTGCTGACCCACAGGAGCCCCAAAGTTTCAGAGATGTGAAGGACACTGACAGTGACTGAGTCCAGTTTTCCAGCCATAGGGGAAATCCTCAAAACAGACTCCTTCACAGCCTGTTCAGCCTCTCCACTGCTCTATGGGTGTGGCCCTGGGCAAACCCATCCTCTCTAGTTCTTGGTGTCCCCATCTGGAATGCAGAAAGGGCCGCCCAGATCAGAAGAGGTTCTCACCACAGCATGATCTCTCCATGCTCTCCTGTAGCCTGTTAACTAATATTCACCGAGTTCTGACCAGGTGCCAAGCCCTGAGATGTATAATCTCATTTCATCCCCTGAAGCAATCACATGAAGCAGTTATCTGCACTCCCCAGACAGGGAAACTCAAGCTCAGAGAGGGTAAGCCACATGCCCAGGGTCGCACAGCTTGAAAATGTTGGAGCTGGGATTTAGATCTAACAGAACTACAAACTAATGCTCCCATTCATATATTTTCCCCTCTTGTGTACTAAAAACAGAAGTTGTGTCCTCTGGACTTGCTCTTACACAATCTAAAAACGTCCCCTTTCTTCCATAGTTCTGCATGGGACCTGGTCCACTTGATTTCCCTAAGTTTACTTCATCTCTTTCCCTTCTGAAAATACTGATCAGAACTGGACACAAATCTTTGTAGCCTAAGCAGTACAAAGGGCCCTGAACATGTGTAGGGCCCCAGAGCACTTTCCAGGACCACTGCAAGTGGTTGGTTTCTACTGAACTTGTGATCAAGTGCAACCTGGCCCATCTTCACGGCCCCTCAGCCTTATCTGTCCCATTATTTGTTTCTGAGAAGTGCAGAAACAAAAATGTGGGGGTAGGGTCTGCGGAGTATAGATCATTCGAGTGTATAGAGGGAGATCTCTTCAAGATATGAAGCCCCAGACTAAACTAGGAGCCCCTGGCTAGGGGATGGGCAAGGTCAGGCTCTGCCCTCTGGCATTGCCAGGCCTGAGGCTTACCTGGGACAGCTGTCCAACCTCCAGGTAGAAGCAGATGATAAATGCATTCCAGCCAACCCAGAGCACCAGCCAGGCTGCATACTGGGGAGAGGAGAGGTGAGATTAGGGTGGGGCATGGAGGAGTGGGGGGGGGGCGCGGGGGGGGGGGGATGGGGCGTGTCAATGGAGCCAGAGCTCAGGGACCCAGGAGACCTTTGCAAGGGGAAGTGATGACACTGTCTCATGCAGAGAGCACTTTAGTTCACAAATCATTATTACACTCGTCCTGTCCTTACAACAGCCCTGCATGGAATGCACTGCTCTCCCTCTAAGGATAACCTACATCAGCCCTAGAGACGAGGTTTAAGTTTGCCAAGATCACACAGCTGGGAAGAGGTGGGCCTGCTCCTCAAGCTCCAGTCCTCTGGCAGCTAATCTGATGCACTCTTCGGAGAAGAACAGACGCAGCCCGGCTCTGGAATGCTGGAGAGGAGCGGGGTGTCTCCACCCAAGTCCTGGGCCTGCCATGCCGCTGCTGCCTCCCGGCACACAGCACCGCTTGTAGGAGTGCCTGGGGCCTTCTTGAGAGCCAGAGAGAAGGATTCTCCCATCTCGGGTGAGACAGAGTTTTCGAAGGGTGCTGCTCACTCGGCTTCTGGGAGCTCAGCCTGTGGGAGGTGGGCAAAGTCCAAGAATGAGCCAGAATGGGCTGTGGCAGGAATGGCAAAGCATGTCGTCGTCATCACAGGCGTCAAGCATGTGTGTAATAAGGCAACACAGAAGGCTTTTCCCTCCAAAGAGGCATGTGAACGTGTCACTGAGGAAGAACAGGGGAAGAGGGTGAGCCTAGCTGAAAACAGGAGTTTAACAGAGACCATCAAGGACCAGGGCTTGGGCAGAGGAAGCAGAAGGAGGGAGCCAGGGACACAATCTACTCCTGGGATGAGAGCACAGGAGGCACTGACCTCTAAGCCCCACTTGTGGGGCACACGGGTGGCTCAGTCGTTAAGCGTCTGCCTTTGGCTCAGGTCATGATCCCAGGGTCCTGGGATCAAGCCCTGCATCGGGCTCCTTGCTCAGCGAGGAGCCTGCTTCTCCCTCTCCCACTCCCCCTGCTTGTGTTCCCTCTCTCGCTGTGTCTCTGTCAAATAAATAAATAAAATCTTAAAAAAAAAAAAAAAAGGCCCCACTTGCCATCAGACCACATTCTCGATGAACAGCAAAGGACCAAAGCCAAGCCAGCCTTCTCAAAGCAACCTGAGAAACTAAGGAAGATGAAGTCCGTCCCATCCCTACTGATGCAGCCTTCACTCAGGATCTGATGCTCTAATCCTGCCACTTATTAGCTGTGTGACCTTAGGAAGCCTCGCAACCTTTCTGAGCCTCATTTCCTCACCTGGGAAATGGAGACAGTAAGATACCCCTTGCAGGGCTGTTGTAAAGATGAGTGAAATATGCGAAACGCTTAGCTTCGCACATGGCAGGCACTCACTAAATGACACAGATGGTTAATATTTGGATTTTTTTCCCTAGGAAATCCTTCAGGGAAAATATCAATCTCGTCTCTCTGCTGAGCAAAGAAGCATTGGGAATAGGCTGGAGCTAAGAGAGAGCAGGGGTCTGGGCACTGCGGGGGTGGGGGGGCAGTTCTGGCTGGAGGAGCAGGGGCGTGGGAGGGGCCGAGGGAGCCATACCAGAATGAGGTACCGGGAGCGGTACTGCACGGTGCCAAAGATGCCCAGGATGACTGCCATGATGTGCAGGAAGTTGGCTAAGATAGGAGCCCATTGATAGCCCAGGAAGTCAAAGATCTGCCGCTCCAGCGCAGCGACCTGTGGGAGAGAGCAGGCGGAGGCCACGGTCACGGCCTGGAAGGGAAGGACAGGGACGCCCCCTGGACCTCATGCAGCAGGTCACACCACTTACCATGGTGACGAGCCACCATGGCCTGACTGCTCACAAGTCTCAGAGCCATCCCAGCTCTCCCAGACCACAGGGAGATGGGGAGATGGAAGCAAGTCTGGGGGGACGGACTGAGACCCTGGTCATCACTTCGGGGAGGGGAGGAGGGAGTTGGGGTTCAGAACACCTTCCTCCCTGCCAAGAGGCCCTCCCCATTGGCACCTGCCCCTGCCCCACGCGGGGCTGAGAGCAGGTGGAGTTAGGATCCAGACGGCCTCCCCCAGCCCTGGCCAAGAGCGGAGCTGCTGCCCTGAAGGGCCCAGGAAAGTTCCTGGGCCTGAGTCCGCTTTTCCAAGCACTGCTATCTGGAGGCTGCCCTGGGCGGTGGAATCCACGGGCTGCAGAGAAAGGGATTTGTTTTTACTTCCCTTCCCCAAGGGAGCTGTCCTAGGTTGCAAAATTGACCTCAAGCTCTTTCTCTCCCTGTCTCCGTGCCCTGTGGCAGCACCCTTCTCCACTAACTCTGTGCTTAGTCATGTGACTTGCTTTGCCCAGTGGGACTTTAGGCAGCGCAGTGCAAGTGAAGATCTTTTGAAAAACTTGCGTGTGCCCTAGAGCTTGCCCAGTTGCTATAATTGTAACACGGACAACACCATGCGGAAGAGCCCCCGTGACCCGCTGGAGGATGAGAGGAGAACCAAGCCCTCTCCCCACTGCCCATGACAGCCCGCCAACCATGTGAGTGAGGCCATTGTAGATCATTCCAATGCTAGCCAACCTACCAACTGACCAAAAACACGTAGCCAGACCGGAAGAATCATCCAGCTGACCTACAGAATCAAGAGCTAAATAAAATGATTATTTTAAATGGCTGCTCCAGGGGATGCCTGGGTGGCTCAGTTGGTGGAGCATCTGCCCTCAGCTGCGGTCGTGATCCCAGGGTCCTGGGATCGAGTTCCCCGTTGGCTGCTTGTTCAGCAGGGAGCCTGCTTCTCCCTCTACCCACCACTCCCTCTGCTTGTGCTCAATCTCCCTCTCTGACAAATCAATAAATAAAATCTTAAAAACAAAACAAAACAAAAATCCCAAAATGACTGCTCCAGAATGATCTGTTACCCAGCAAAAGTTAACCGATACTTGGGGCGCCTAGGTGGCTCAGTGGGTTAAGCCTCTGCCTTCGGCTCGGGTCATGATCCCAGGGTCCTGGGATCGAGCCCCGCATAGGGCTCTCTGCTCAGCAGGGAGCCTGCTTCCTCCTCTCTCTCTGCCTGCTTCTCTGCCTACTTGTGATCTCTGTCTGTCTGTCTAAATCAATCAATCAATCAATCAATCAATGTTAACCGATACAGGACTCAGTCAATTTACCCTTTCCAGGAGCCCCTGGTTCAGTGATTCAGCTGATTCATTAAGAACGAAGGTGCCAGTGACATCCATTGTTACTGACTGTCCAACACCTCTGCTCGTGCTGACAGAACCCATCTCTCTGTTTTAGAAACCACCTCCCAGACCTTCAGTCCCTGTGGCTTGGGTGGGGCTGAGCCCACCTCTAATTTCAGCAGTGGGCTCACGACTCAATCCCGACCAGATAACTGACACACAGGGATCTGGTCAGGGCTGAGCACTCGCCCTGTGGCCAGCTCCCGAGAGTTACCCCGGAGAGCTGCCAGAGCAGCCGGCACAGAGATGCTGTCTGCCAGCGTATCTGAATGGGTGCAGTGTCACTCGCTGCTGCTGGTGGCCGTCTTTGCCATCTCAAAGGGACAAAGAGTGAGAAAGAGTGAATAATTAAGGGGAGTCTCCAGGCCATGCAGTTTTTGGTCTGAGGGTCTAGCCACGCTGAAAATTAATTCTCCCTCCTTGAACGTGTGATTTCTGTCATTTGCAACCCAAAGTCCTGATTTAAATGGGAGAGGAGGGGATATGGCTGGGAAGGGACAGGGAAGATTCTGATTGAGAAGATCCCAGAAGCCGTTTTCCTGGCAGGGAGGTGGGGAGCGGGGGTGCTGGCGCTACCACACAGATGGCAAAGCTTGGGCAGAGACCCAGGAAGCTGCAGGCCCAGCCCTGGCACCCACCCACCTGGCGCCAGCCTGCCTCTTGTTGGTGACTCCTCCCGCAGGGCCCTACAGACTGCAAAGAGCTTTCCAAGTTCATCGCCCCCTGGATGCTCCTTGGCAGAAAGGCAGAGCTGGGATCATGATCTTGTTCTCAAGCAAGAGACCATGAGGCTCAGAGAAGGGAAGTGACTTGCCCAAGGTCACACTACAGGGAGGTGGCAGAGCTGGGCAGTCATTCTGCTTTTCTCTGCCACCTGTCCCACCTTGGCACCAACCCATCACCTTTCCTGCTGGCACTGGCCTGGGAGTTAAGAGGTGTGGATTCTGGTTGAGAGTCTGACAGACTCCTGGGTGCCCTGGGGCAGGCCACCTTCCCCACCTTCTCTCAAGCTCCTTCTTCTGTACAGAAGAGACCACTGGACTACAGGACTCTAAGGGCCCTCCAGTGGTCTGCTGACCTTGGGGGAGAAACTCCCCAGGTTGTTCCCTGCTCCCACTTCTCCTGCCCCACTTCTGCTCTTTTCCTTTTCACCCAGACTCTGCCAGGCCTTGGGGAGCCCCCTGCTGGCTTGGGGTCCACTTGATGTTCTCAACTCAGCTGGCATCTGTTCCTGGCATGGAGGCTGCCACCAGAGGACAGAGGAGGTGGCCGAGACAGACTTGCCCAGGCTCATGGTATAGCTGGGGAGAGGCCTTGCCTGGAGATGCCCTCCTAAAACATGGGGTCACCCTGCTGTACCCCTGGCCTCCTGCTCCAACCACTCTGGATTCCCAGGGACCTCACTAACATAGCGAACAGGGGGACAGTTCCCACGAAAAGCTTTGGAGTCACTAAAGCTCAGGTTCAAATGGCCACTCTGCGACTTCGTTCAAGTTACTTTCCCTCTCTGAGACTATTTCTTCAACAGTAATAGGGAAGGCAATCCCTCCCCCGAGAAGTCGTTGTGAGGATATGGAGACATCACACAGGTTAACGGACGACTAAACTTAATAAATGGTGACTAATTAGGAGAAGACGCAACAGTGGGAGCTTCTCAGATGGGCACCGCAGGCTTGCTGGGAGCTGCCCCTCTCCTCTCTCCCCAGCCAGCTCCTACCCCCCGAGCGGCTGAAGCAACAGCTGAAGTTCTGCCTGCATTTCCCTTTTCCTCTATGCAAGTCCTCCTTGGTCTTCAAAGTACAGCACAATTCCCTCCTTTTCCAGAAAGACCTCCCTGATTGGCCAGAGAGATGACTCTTCCCCATGAATATGGAGCCCTGGCCATTCTGGTCACTGTCAGCCATCACTCTGGTCTCCCTCCACCCTCCCTCCAACCTTCTGAAGTGTGGCCCGCCCTCATCTGCCTTGGGGGTCACTGTCTACCTACTTGTTCACAGAACATGTGCTCTGCGTCAGGTCCCTTGCTGGTACTGCGTGCAGAAGGGAGTAAGCTCTGGTGCCTGCCCCCCGGGAACTCAGTCTAGTTGGGGAGATGGGTGGGAAATGGACGCCCATACACCAGTGTAGTCGGCACAGCCACCCAGACCTGAATGCTGCTGATCAGGACCTGAGCTGAGACCAAGAGTCAGCCGCTCAACCGACTACACCACCCGGGTGCCCCTAAGCTTTGTTTTTTAATTATTTTTATATTTTTAATATATTTTTAAAAGATTTTATTTATGTATTTGAGAGAGAGAGAGAATAAGCGGTGGGGAGGGGGAGAGGGAGTGGGAGAAGCAGACTCCCCACTGAGCAGGGAGCCCGATGCAGGACCCGATCCCAGGACCCTGGGGTCATGACCTGAGCCAAAGGCAGACACTTAACCTACTGAGCCACCCAGGTGTAAACTTAGTTTTTTTTTTAAAGTAAACTCTATACCCAATGCAGGGCTCAAACTCACGACCCTGAGATCAAGTGCCCCACGCTCTACCAACTGAGCCAGCCAGGTGCCCCTCCATATATATTTTTTAATTGAGATTCTGCATCTTATAAATAATCTCAATCCTAAAGTTATTATTTTTGATTAGAAAGCCAAGTCAGATATTCCAGAACTTCTGCTTGTGCAGCTGTGAGATGCGACTAATTACCAAATAAAGAACAAACAAATAGGGGGAATATCTTCCCCATCTGGTTGCACCAGCTTAGAACAATCAACTGAGGGCTGCAGTGATTTAAGTCCTAACTGGCCTGTTGTGTCCTGTCAGTTTGATGGGAGGACTAGTGGGGGGATAATGGCAATTTCGAAACTCCTTCGAAAAAATTTCAAGTGCACCTGCACTGAAGGAAAGAGTGACTTTAGGATGTTTGTTTGTTTGTTTGTTTTTAACGTGTAAGCCAGGTCTTGATTCTCTCTCCTAGGTGGGCCAGGCCCAGGACAGAAGGTCCTGTTGACAACTGATGCAGCCTCCTGTGGGATGGGGGTGGGGGGTGGTGCTGGCCAGCACCCCTGTCCAAGTGCTTTCTCTTTGCATGTTTTTCGTTGTTTGTTTGTTTGTTTGTTCGAAGGAGGCTCCGCACCAGCCTGGAGCCCAATGTGGGGCTTGAACTCAGGACCCTGAGATCAAGACCTGAGCTGAGATGAGTCGGATGCTTAACCGACTGAGCCACCCAGGCACCCGTCCAGTTACTCCCTCATCAGGGCAACCCGCAGAGCTTGGGGCAATCGCTGAGACCCCTGGGCCTGCCAGTGATCCCCCTGCCCCCCGCCAGGACCCCAGATAAGCAGGACAAGGACAAGTGCCCAGACCATCCCGAGTGACAGATGAGAACAAGTTACCCAGATCCTGTGTGGATCCGTCAGACCCACAGAGTAAGTCCCACATGCCTGCCCCTCAGCACCCCACCCTCGTCTCCTCAAGGCCCTGCGCTGCTTCGCCTGACTCCCCACCCCGAC